CAACAATCCCACTGCTGGGAGAAGGGGGCCGGCAGAGAGGGACTAAGGGAGGGCTCCAAGGAACTCCGACACCTCTGCCCCACAGACTGCAGGGGGATGCTAAGCCAGCCCTGCCGATGGACCTGTCATCCACTTGGACTTGCTGAGAGCGCAGCTTATGGCCTTTATGCAACGTGAATGAACATCCAGAATCTTTCCAGAGTGTGCATCTTTCAAAACCACTTGGTACACTGCACATGAATCCACTAATTGCTATTCTTATTATTAGTCATAGTAGCATTGTTATTGTTATTGTTAAAATTATTAAAGTGTTCTTCTCTTAACCCACAAGGTTTATCCTTTTCTCTCCAATTCTCCTTCCTAAGGGGGTGGGGGTGGCAAGCATGGAACTTAGTTGCTAAGTTCCTAAGTTGCTAAGTATGGAACTTAGTTGCTGGCTGAGGTTCTCCAATTTGTTGTGCTGGTGCTGGAAGATTATAGACTTTGTGGACACTGAACATAGATCAGAAGCTTTCTGGAGCATATTTCTCTCAAAACCAAAGAAAACCACTGCAGGCAATGCTTTTTAGCAGTGTTTCAACAGCATAGGTAAACAAAAGGGGAATATGTCTGTAGTGTACCGTGAACTACTTTAATATAAATGCTGCAACAGAGCCCCTTTGGCCCACACTCTCCCAGTCTTTCCCCTCCAAGCACCAGAGCATGGTTGTCCAAGCCCTGTGGCCATGAGCCAGGCCACCTGACCTGAAGCAAAGCCAGGTCCATGGACACAGGCCATGTTGACAACCCTCTCCCTGCTGGTACCTCTACACCCAAATGGCTCCAGTCATCCACCTGTCACAGCCCTCTTTCCTCTGCCACTTCTCTACAGCAGCAGCCTGGCTCCTCCAGCCCCAAATCCCATGGCCATGGCAGGAATGCAAGATAAGCTATCCTGGTGTTCTGGGGACAGGCTTCACAGAAGACACTGCCAGGGAATGATCTGCACACCTTGGCTTGGTCTCTGTCAGACAGCAAAGCTCTAAACTCTGAACATCCTGGGCCTTCGGGAGCCAGTCAAGGAGCAGACTGCAATGCAAACAAAGCATATTTTTGCCATGCCTCTGTCCCATCCCCCCTCCATTCTTGCTGAGCCCTTCCCAGTCCCTTGCTTTTAATCCTTTCCCCAGACACACCAGTACCAGCATTGAACCTTTGCACAAGCTCTGCAAACAACCTCCTCTCATAGAGTCTGAGCAGCTCCATAGATTCTTGCCCAACATCCCACAAGGGTCCTCCCAGTCCTGCTGGTAGAGACTCCCACAGCCAGAGAGGTTCCTGTGTCGTGTTCCTGTGGGATCCATCTCAGATCTGCAGGAAAGGGCCTGGAGGTCCTGGGGACACCAACATGCAAACAGCACTGTCAGTGCGCCCTGGTAGCCAAAAAGCCAACAGCCTCCTGGGGTGCTCTGAAAGGGGAATGCCGCCAAGCAGGCCAGGGAGGGATCCCTCCCTGTCCCCAGCCTAGTAAAATGCACAAAATTCCATTTAAAAATGAGACAAAACTTTTTACTTTGATGATGGTCTTAGACTGGGAAATTGTTGAATAAGATGTCTATACATCTAATCGCCATCTCTAGCCTTCAGTATCCTGAAGAAAATCGAAGCAGAAGGTAACCTGCTTCCCTCTACTACCTCACTAGGTATGAGGTTGTGCAGAGTTAACCTGTCGAAATAAGAACCAACTACTGGGCCCCTTACATTTCTAACAATAGCTGTGATGAAGTTATCACTGATTACAGACTACCTACTTTAAAATATGTGTGAAAAATGCACTAAAACAGAGGATGAACCAAATTACAGCTCTTCGATAGTGTTGGCTCAAAGTCAATATTGTTGAACCAATGTATCTCATTCCGTGTGGGACTCAGCCCTAGTTCATGTCTTTAGTCCTCAGAAAAATCTAGAAATTCACCCCTACAAAACTGTCTTCAAAAGTCGCTTTAATGCTGCTATGTCTTGGCAGAAAACCCATGTATACAACTTAATACAGGAAAGTAACAGAATTATCATTTTGTGCTTGTGGCAAGTTGAACAATATTTTTGCCTTAAATTCAGGAACTCTAATGCAATAACAAAATTAGGTACCATTTTCAAGTTTAAAATAGCCAGTGATCTCTGTGTGAAGACTCGAAATATTTTCCTTCAAATGAATTTTATGAAGCTTCAGAAGCAAAAAAAAAAAAATCAAAAATACCCAGAATTGTTTTTAAGATATATGTTTTTTAAAAATGGCAACCCCTCCATATTGTTAAAAGATCAGAAAAAAGCATGAAAGATTAAGTGGCAGATGAGATAATAGACAAGATAATTACAGAGCATTAAAGCCTCAGATTTATTTTTAAGACATTCAAGCTCTATTTAGAAAAGCCCTTTGTTAACTTTTGTGAATTTAAAAAGAATGATTGTAACATATTCAACAATAAGGGGACTAATGGTGTTAAAGTTTCATCATTTCCTATTCTAAACCAGTCCATACAATAACTGGCCACAGAGTGTTTCTGCAGCACAAATAGAAGATAACAAGGCTAGAGCAGTTACAGTGCAGCAAAACCTCAAGATGCCACAAAAAGAGATTTGTCATGCTCTGTGCTCTCAGAGTGGGAAGTGACAAGTGACTCTTGAATTTTCTCACTGAGCTAACGCACACAGGGAAGTTAACCACACTGACCCTCACGGGCTGCTCACGAGCTACCATTTTGTTTCTGCGGTGCTAGAGAGGTAATGCTAATGCAGGGCAAGAGCTGAGAGTATGAAAGCCAGGTAGGCAGTTCTCTGACATGAAGCTGTACCAGTCTGATAAGGATAAGGAGAAAAGCAAACATAAATCTGTGTTGATGGGTTTACAGGCAAGCAAATGTGTGGTTCAACGAAGAAACAGAGAATTGGTTTCTGTGTTGCTTTGGTCTTCTGTCTATGGAGCTTTCTTGAGAATCCCCTGGTTTTGTTCCACCTGAGACAATGAATGAAGAAAAAAATGTTACCTATTGCCAAAGATATCTGCATAACCTCTGGTGCAATATACTGCTGCAATTATCACATCTTTTCAGGAAATTTCTGGACTCTTCTGTTTGGGAATCCGGCTCTATTCTTTGTGTTTTTACAGAAAAGTTTTTTAAAAATTATTACCTTTCTCCTATATTTTTCCTCTCCTTGCATAAAAAAGATTCAATATGTACCTAAGTTAGAACTTAAAAAATTAAATATATAGAGAGTGCATATATTTTAGATATATACTGATACCCACCATTATTAGTAGAAATATCTACATATGTATGTTTGTTTGTGTATATATCATACAAAGCTATAATACTTGTGCTTGACTAAACACAATAGATTGCAAAATGTGGACACCAACACAACATGAGATGTTGTTTCCCTTTGGCTACTTGATGCCTGAAGTGACACCAAAATATAAATAATCACATTTAGTTTCATTTTTAAAACCATGAATGACAAAGAACAATTCTACAGAGGCTTTTGAAGATCTTCTTAGTTTTACCATTACATTTGCAATGGAGATTATTTAGCCTTAGATACTTACTGGAAGTTCTTTCTGAGCATAAGGAAGTATGTGAAAATGTTTATTTGTAAGTATAATTAAAACTACTATTAGGGGCAGATTAGAGGAAGGAGCTGAACTCCTGAGGGTAAAGAATTAAAACATGGGAGGTAAGACTGGAAGGAGCATAAAAATGAAAATAATATTTTATGGTTGGTGAAAGAGAAATTTTCAGAGTGTGGCAGGGCACAATTTAGTAAAAGTATGTTTGCATGCTGAGGAGATGTAAGTGGAAACATTTTGTTTTGCCCAGAGATAAAAGAGTGTTGACATAATTAGAGTTGAAAATTAGGATGGTGCCAAGCCCTGAAAGATATTTCTTACTTGTGTGGATAGATTAGAAAGGTCTTATCTCAGATTTCATTCAGAAAGTATATACAAGGGTCAGTCATAGCAAGAATTTGGGGATCTAGGCATAACACTGTGTTGAAGATGGTGCCACATTATAGACCTGAATAGCAGTCATTTTTTCTACAGGAATTGAAATGTGTATAAAGAAGGACTTCTCTTCTGAAAAGCTGCAATAACAGTAAAAAAAAAAAATTAGAATTACCATGGCAACAACCAACAATCGTTCAAGACAAAATGGAAAAAAAACTAAAACGGGGAAACAAAACACAAAATCAATTAAAAATTTAAAGAGTGATAAACTACACACTTTAAAGTGCCTACACACTTTAAAATATGATTCTTTATCACATATTTCAAATATGACTTCAGACTAAACAAACTATTTTCATGTTGTTTGTAATTTAAAGATCCTCAAGAAACTGAGGCCTGGAAAAGTAGGTGTAAACATTAAAACCATAAAATCCTATGTCTTCTGGGAGGGAGAGAGAAAGAGAGAGCAGAAGAAAAAGGATTTTTACAAACCTATGCAGAAATAATTTTTACACTCTCTTTTTCTTGACATGTCATAAAATAACTCACAGAAGGTAAACTTAAGAGTTTTTTAGTCTTCATTATTTTCCCATGCAAAATTCCCAACAATTTCAAAAATTTTTCAACAATTAATAATGCAATGGTGTACTTTCCTGAGCCTTTTTGAAGTTTGTTAAATCAAACTGCTGTGGACAATAGACTACTGCCCTCATTTTCATTACAGTCCCTAGCAATGAGTCCACATTTTCTTTTGGGCAAGTATCTTCTGGGGCTTAGTGGACCTACAGTAACTAAAGCTATATCATACTGTGATTTAATAAAAACAGAACATAAGTCAACAGCAAAATTCAAGTTCACAAGACAGAAGAGGAAATAGAACAGTGAGATTGCACAAGAGAGGACAGGGATAAAGAACTGGAAGAGATATGAGGCAGAAACTGAATGAGAAAGAAATATGAAGGCATTCATTTTTCACAGATTAGTGTGTCTCAGAAAGCATGTGCTACTATTCCTATGCTTTATTCACATAATAGGAAATTTTTAGAGAGCTGCAGGAGAGTTGTCTGTTTTGATCAAAAACTAGTGACACAATTTGGTAAATCTTGGTGAAAAATATTAATAAAACACACAAAAATCTTATTTTGTTGTGAGCAGTAGTGTTTGCAGACTTTACACAGATGACTTCTCTGTGGAGGAGTGAATTTTTTTTCACCTCTAACTCCATGTTTTTACATCATTTTGCATAACCTGCCTGTCTAATATTCCTTTCTAGCACCCTCATTTATTCCCTTGTTTCTTGATTTGAATCCCTTCTGGAATTATTCCGAACATCAGCCTTGCATCTGTGAAACTGCTTTAAAAAATTGAAAAAAGCCAGTGTTGTCTTATTCCTCTGAAAATGAAGGCTTTAACTCAGTTAATCAATTGAATGCATTTATTGCACGCTGATACAACTTCATTACAGAGAAATTTCAACGTGATTGTGTTTAATCACCTGACAAACAATGGACCAAATTGTTTTGCCTCTGGGAGCTGTCAAAGGTTTACACTTACAACATGTGTAATTTTTCTTTGAAAAGAGATGGAACTACATCTGCATAACAAA